TTTTAATACTCTGAACAAAAGTATATCTTAGTGATTGCACAAAATTGGTCTGTAAAAAGAAAAAAGGAGTTGTTCATTATAATGTGTTTTAAATTCATTAATTGGTTTATCGGAGCACTCTGTAACACCAAAATATTAAGTGTGTGAAAATTGTGGCGAAAAATGCATTTTTTGGATTGACATTCATTGGGAAAAAAGTTCTGGAAGTCATGGTTTCCTGTCTTTATGCACTTTTTATAGGAATGTCCTAAGTATTACTTTTTTCCCTCAAAATACTTAAGTGTCTGCTCGATTTAAGTTCTTTTTTTAGTGTGTGATTCAGGAGATTTTTTTTCTCGTGTATCACAAAACAGGACTGTTCAGGCCAGTGACTACTACTTAATGTCATACATAACACTCTGCTCTTAAACGACTTGCACCCTTTCTTATTCGCTTCATTTCCTTCATCTCTCCTTAAGTCACTGAGTTAGCGTACTGAACTTGTACCTGAATCAGGTATTTAGATTTCGGCCTTGACTATTAGCTAGGCTGAACGGATCAAAGAAAACCTGCAATCTGATTGGATAGACTCAACACCCAGAACACCAACCTGTCCAATCAGTTCAACAAAAAGCATGCCTTCTTATGCAAAATTTTTATATAAGTTTTGTCAGACTTTTTTAATATGCATTTAGTTTTGAGTTTATTTTGTAAAGATTTTTATGTGAACTTTGTGTCACTTTCCTTTCTACATGTCTGGCGAAGATGATGCCAAAACGAAACAGTATACATATGTAAATTTTTTGTTGTTTTTGTTTCAATTATGAACAATATACACTTTCACAATGGCATCTGTAGAAAATAGAAAACTCATGTACAGTTACAGAAGGGAATTATTTGCTGGCCACAATTCTGGGCTCTTTAGAACATGGAAATGTGGTGTTTCGGCTGTGTATGAATCTCATGGACCGTTATTTTTCATTCAAGTCTGCCTTTGCTAGCACACCATGCTGAATGTTATTGTTATCTTGGGGCGCTGGGTGGGGGTGAGGGGGTTACCAGTGGTTGTGAGAAGATATTTATGGTCTTACATGGCTTATCTTGCAGAGTGTATGTAATTTTGTGGGTGGGGCCTTTAGAAGGAAGGGGAGGGAACTTCTGAAAGCCACGCATTCAAATTCTTAAGTCAGTATACCCAAAGAGACTGCAAACATTTTGCTGTTAGGAAGCCTTTTTATATGCATTCGAGATACATATCATTGAACGTTTTTTTTTCCCCGTCAAGATTGATTTCTGCTCTAGCTTACAGCTCCGACGTGTGGGAAACGCTTTCCATCAGCTTTCTAAATTGTCTGTATGGCTTTGCAATTTTGGTTTTAGAACTTTTAAAAGGCGAAAGTTTGCGGTGTACATTTTATGCATAAAATTGAAACATTTTCAGACCCATTCCAGCTGTTCATCCTGTCACCTTGATCTTAATAGTGTGTAGATCATCCATATTCTTTATGGTGCGTTATAATTCCACAGTGACAATGAAGTCATTGTAGTTTCAATGTAGTTTCTGTTCACTTTTCATACTATTTACTCAGTCATGATTGTGGCCTTCTCGTACTGTTGATGCATTTAATTTGTTGTCGTGACTTTCCTATAGTGTTGTGCACTGTGTGTGAGCGTGTGTGTTTGTTTGGGCAGGTGTGTGTGTGTGTGTGAGAGAGAGAGAGCGTTACCTCATCTAGTCAGCTGTCTATAATTGGAAAACATTTTTGTTTACGCGTGCAAAAAAATAAAAATTATAAAAAAATGTATTCTTCCACTTGATGAAACACAACAGGATACATTGTAGCGACATGAGTTGTTTAAAAAAGAAAGTTCACCTGGTGTGCTGAACTAAGTGTAAATGGTTTATTACACAATATGAATATTTGTAAAATTGTTTGTATTTTTTCATAATGATTTTAAAAAGGTGTGTTTATTTTTTGACTTTTTTCTGTTACAGAGCTCTCTCTCTCTCTCTCCCCCTCTCTCTCTGGTCTTTTTTTCTCCTCGTTTGTTCGCCTGACATTGTGAGTGAGTCAGTTGGTTCTTACCTCTCCTGTATTGAGCCTGTGATGAGTCCTTTGTATGCAGTGTTTTGAAAATACTGTAGGGAACATGGGAAGAAATTGATATTAGGAGCATTTGATCAATTTGTATTTATTTATTTTATCATTTTGTTAATAAATTGAGAAAGAATATTTGCCTCCCGTTTGTCTTGAATTCAACTTGGCTTTATATGACCAGATGACTTGTGAAACTGATATTAAATAAGTGTCAGGCCAGAAAAGTGATGAGAAGTGTTGGGGTGGTTGTTGAGCATAAGTGCAGGTGAATTATGGACTGTCGGGGGCCTCCATGCCAGTGTTTTAAGGACTACAACTACTACAATGATGTCCTTAAAATGCGCAAATGCTGTATACAACAACTCGCTAATGTTTAAAAAAAAACACAACGGCTTCACAAGATATTAACCGGATATAATGTCACTTATAAGTTGAAAATGTGCTTTGGGACTAACCTGTAGGACATTCCTGAAGCAATCCATGGCAAATGTAAGACTATACTAAACCGCTCTATTAGACGTGGAAATTTTGTGCTATTTATGCACGATTCAATGTCTTTTTGTCATTTTATAGCGGTGTGCATATGGTGATATTTAATTCTTCCATATTTGCGAGAGAAAATAGACGATGATTAGTATTTTGCTGTCAAAAGCGCCATTTTGTTATGAACGGCGTTGCCATAGAAACGGGAAGTTCTATGTTTTGTCATTTTATAGCGGTGTGCATATGGTGATATTTAATTCTTCCATATTTGCGAGAGAAAATAGACGATGATTAAGTATTTTGCTGTCAAAAGCGCCATTTTGTTATGAACGGCGTTGCCATAGAAACGGGAAGTTCTATGTGCGTGAATAGCTCCGAATAGTAATCACAGTAATTCCGAGAAGATTCAGTCAACGGGAGCTTTTCAAACCGTAATCATAAAGTATAACACTTATATAACTAAGGCAAAAATACATTGTATACCCAAGGCTAAAATTATCAACAAAAAGATCGAATGGAGTCTTTACATTAAGTGGCTGAAACGGAATGAACTGTGAAATTAACTATTAAAACTTTAATGATTACATTTTTAATTATTTAAAAAAAAAGAAGAAAGTGAAAACTTGGCACGCAACCGCTGCGTAATGTTTCTGGAGGCGCGTGCCAAAAGCGAACGCGCACGAAACGCGCGAACCGCAGCCTCATACAACTTCACACACAATCTAACTTTCCCTTTCCTGACTTTCTTCCGTTTTCCATGTCATTTCCTGTAATAAAAAAGATGGTGGTCATAGCAGAGAAGCAGCTGACTGTGGTACAAACATTTGGAGATGATAAACTTTGCATCGCCCGGGACTAGTGAAATCCCCCCGTGCCGTTGCGTTACCGCCGCGCTTCTCGGAGCGGCAGATAGACGGCTGAAGAAGACCACCAAAGACCCCGCGACGCACTGCGTATGTTCTATAGTCGGTGAGTTACACTCACTAGCCAATGTGGCCAATGAAAATGGCTTCCGAAAGCGTTAGGCAAATTGCCAGTTGCCTTGCAGAAGCTAAGCGGAGGCAGAGCGTGAGAAGCATTGCGTACCGTCATTGTCATCGCCCACGCTTGAGCTTATGTGCAGCTTTTACCTCACAATGTTTAGACGAACACAACTTTGCAGCAGCTTTATCTTTCAACAGAGCATTGTTGGCCTATTTGTTTTCCTGCACTCGTCTCTCTCACAGCTTGGGTAGGTTGTGAGTGACGGCCGGCTCGACCAATCAGAGCGCTGCTCTCTGACTGTCTCGGAAACGTCAGCAGAACGGACTGGTTGTAGCGTTTGTTTGTTTCTGTGAAAGCAGCTCAAAGTTTGTAGCCATGTAAACATTTATAAACCTATAAAAGCATGTAAGAAATGAAAACGAAATGACAAGGTAAAGGTGCCCCACTGTAAAGGAAAGTTAGCACATAACATAGGCATACATTGTTTCACGTAATATAAGAATTTTGGGTTAAAAAAATTATATACAATAGGGTTCAAAGGTTGAGATCACTAGTAAACATTGTTTTTATATACATTTTTTATTAAAAAATATATCATCAGCATAAAATGTGTCAAAATGTTTAACTCATTAATTTCTGAATGTCTTACTATTTTGTATGTCCTGAAATGGACTCCGCATGTTTGTGTAAAACCTGATGGTCATGTTATCCAGCATGTGAGAATCATCTAACTAGAATCTTGTTCTTCAATAGTAAAAAGGAGTTCATATGGTTAATATCAGAAATAGCAACCTGCAAATATTTCTTCTTCATTCTTTGTTTTTTTTAATTATTGTTTTAAATATTTAAAAATTTCAAAACCATTTTTTTTCCAAAGCTTAAATTTGAAAAGGACCAGTTCTCACTATTAACTAGCATGCATATTACTAGCATATTGACTGTTAATTAGTACTTATAAAGCACATATTAAAGTACATATTAATGCCATATTTTGTATGACCACCATATTTTAAATCCCTTAATCCTACCACATACCTAAACGTAACAACTACCTTACTAACTAGCAGAAAAAAATAGTTTGAGTTTATTTATTAGTTTATTTAGTTTTTTAATTAGTTTATTAAGTTTACTGAGGCAAAAGTCATAGTTAATAGTTAGTTAATAGTGAGAACTGGACCTTAAAATAAAGTGTGACCTTCGTTTTTAATTATGTTTTAGCTGTTTTGATGCTCTCTTTATAACATCTCTTAAATTTCCTGTTTTAACAGTATTTACATCCCCTTATTTTACTTTAGATTTAATATGTTGAAGTGAAACGCGCTCTCAGGAGTCTCTCCTTCCTGCCCAGATGGCAGATTCCTGTGCTGTTCCAGACCATTCCCCCATGGAAGTTGAGGCTGAATGCAGCACCAGGTCAGCGTCACAAAGTGTTTACAACAGCAAACATTTCAAAGGGGGCGCTGTTTGGTCCTTATCAAGGCCAAATAATGGCCTCGGATAAACCCTCAGGACCATACACTTGGATGGTAGGTTATGTTGTATATTTAAACACCATTTAGCATAGTTGTATGTATTTGTATTAATCTTTAATGCAGATAAAAACTATATTTTAATGTCAAATGTATCTATTACAGATTGTTGATAAGGACAACAAAAATAAATTAATTGATGGGAGTGATGAAACTACGTCTAACTGGATGAGGTAATACCATGTTGCTGAGATGAACTTTAATTATTCTTTTCCTTTTCTTTGTGCTATTGTAATGTACGGATCTTGTGTGGAAAATGTTGTTTTAGTCACCATGGTTAAGTTGATATGATTGTTTACAATACTAATTGCTTATTCCTCTCAGGTTTATTCCGATTTCTTCTAATGAGAGTAAAAAGAACCTGAGTGCGTTTCAACATGGGGAAGAAATCTACTTCAGAGTGTGTCAGAGACTGACGGTGGGCGAGAAACTCTGTGTGTGGTACAGCAGCGAGTACATGAGGCGACTGCAAAGTGTGTCTCGGGACAGCATTTTACAACAGCAAACATTTAAAGAGCAATCCCTGTGCATAAAAAAATAGTAGTAATAAGCAGTTTTTCTACCTATTTACTAGTGCCTCAAATGAGAAGTCTACTGAAGAGCCAAACAAAAAACTAAAAGTTGACCATGAGCATTCGACCAGTTTTTGGTGTAAGTATCATTTACTTTAACTTTAAATAGAAGTGTTGTGTATGTCACTGAAAATTGGATATCAAATGAGAATTTTGTATAGGGCGAGAAACTCTGTGTGTGGTACAGCAGCGAGTACATGAGGCGACTGCAAAGTGTGTCTCGGGACAGCATTGACCGCAATCTGGACACAGGTGAGACACCCCTCACTGGTGTTTGAGCCAAAAAAAGTTGACTAAATTGAACGATTTTGAAATAGGTCAAAAGTTAAGGAATCTCCAAAGACATTTTAAGGGGCTGCTAATACAAACACTGCAGGGCCGAATCCAGATGTGGAGACTGTTGAACTGGAATACTAATATATTCTTATAAACTCCTAACAGCACATTTTAAATTTGCATCACTTTGAACCAAAACCATTTTCTAATTGAATAATAGTTGGTTTGTTTATTATAAAAGACAGTTACGGGAAGATATTTCGTTTACTGGATTAGATCTGTTGTTGAACTTTAGACAAGACTGAAACAAAATTTAAACAATATTTACTATAATTGAAGTAGTTCAGCCAAAAATTAGCACTACATACTCATCCCCATGTTGGTTCAAACTCATTCTTCTGTGAAATACAAAAAGGAGAAATTTTAAAGAATTCTACTGGTCGCCGATTTCCTTTCAATACCATTAATGCAGGCTGGAGGTTTCAAGCTTCAAAGGGGAACCAAAGGCATCGTAAAAAATAATAAATGTGATCAATATAAGTTGTGCGCTATATTTCAAGTCTTCGGTAGCTTTTTGTGAGGAATAGACCAAAATTTTATATTGAACATTTTTGATCAACAAAAAAGTACCCAGAAGAGATGTTCCAGGCCTGCAATAGTTTAACAGGTAAGTGAAATGGGATTTATATACATTTTTTTCTTTCTTTAGCACTTTTTTCAAAATCACTTATATTTTTCCACAGTTTTTTTAAAATATGCTGTTAGTGTTACAACAGCGTTATGGTTAATGTATGTATTGCAGGAGTGAAATTAGAAGAACAGGAGGAGCCCAAAGGTCCAGTGTTGAGATCTGCAATGCACGGTAGAAGGACCCTAAGTAAGCATGGAAGTGATGAGGCAGAAAACCAGCCCCAGGCCAAGAAAAAGAAGATTGACCTCATTTTCAAAGATGTCCTGGAAGCATCTCTGGAGGCTAATCAAAGCCAGAACAACCCCCTGAACAGCACCTTGTCTTTTCCAAGAGCAAGAACAAATGTCTGCCAGGTTTTCAGCCAGCCTGACGCAGAGTGTAAAGAGTCCGTCTTCGCCACTGGATTGGCTTCCGTGGAACATCACGAGAGTGGGTTTGATGCAAAATGCATTAAAATGGAAGAAACAGAAGAAGATACGACCCTGACTGGCGAAGGACCATCAACATCTTTCTGCCCAAACTGTGTGAGGTTAAAACGACGAATCCGTGAGCTGGAGGCTGAACTGCTCCGTCTCAGAGGACAGGGGCATGCTGAAATTAAGCCTGTACCACCATCTGAGCCCCTTCCTAGTGAGGACCTCAGAGGTAGGTTTGCACCTGGGATGGAACACTACCATGGATGAGAGCCTTTCTGGAGTAGATATTGATGATTTTCTTTTTTAAATATATGACTATATAGACTATTTTGTCTTGTAGTTAATCAATTACTGTTAACATTCTTTTGTTGTTGCTTTTTTGCGTTTTTGCTGGTGATTGTGTGATTGCCAAATTTGTTGAAATGTTTCAAATGGAATTGCACTCTTAATTAAAAGTTTTAATAAAATAATTAATGAGTGTTTTCTTTTTGGAGCCTGCAACTAAAGTTTAAGTCTTTGATTGTTTGGTTTGTGGAATTAAGAATGTTTTAATTTAATCATACTTAAAAATGATTTGTATTAGTGTATTAGTTGATGTAGAACTTGAGATATCATGAACTGTATTGAGAAGGTGTGCTTACAATAGGTGTAAAAATGCCTTCATTCATGCCAAAACTAACCAATAAGGAATTGTTGAGTTTAAACTTGCTTTATGTTGGTTTTCAGTTTAATTCTGTGCTCTGTTTGCTCATTTGTTGTAGATGCCATGACGCCCGTCCCAGCGGCGCTTGAGGAAGATGACCAGGATGTTGATTCTGCTGATGAATCCATTTCTGCTGACCTCATGGTGGCTACAGATGAGTCTTCAAAACTCTCGGTGGGCTCAGGTCGTCGGATTCGTCGCTTCAAACAGGAGTGGCTGAAGAAGTTCTGGTTTCTCCGTTATTCGCCCACACTGAATGAAATGTGGTGCCATGTGTGCCGACAATATACCGTCCAGTCCTCCCGCACCTCTGCTTTTATTATTGGTTCCAAGCAATTCAAAATCCACACCATTAAACTTCATAGCCAGAGCAATTTGCACAAGAAGTGTTTGCAACTTTACAAACTTCGCATGCACCCGGAGAAGACCGAGGAGATGTGTCATAATATGCTGACTCTTTTCAATGCTGCCTACCATCTGGCTTTGGAAGGACGACCATTTTCCGATTTGCGACCCTTGGCGGAGCTCCTCAAGAAGTGTGACCTCAAAGTGGTAGATCAGTACATGAATGAAAATGACTGTCAGATTCTCATCCAACACATTGCTCGAGCATTCAAAGAGGATTTGGCCGAGAAGATTCGCCTTTCGCCCTTTCTAAGCATCATCATGGATGGGCAGAACGATGAGCTCTTGGCTGACACTGTTGCCATTTACGTCCAGTTCACCACCACTGATGGACTTCCTGCCACTGAGTTCCTTTCCCTACAAAGGCTTTGCAGAGGCAATGTGGAAGGCTACCTCCAGGCTGTGGATCGTGCCTTTGGTGTCCTTGGTCTAAGAATTCAGGACATGCTAGTTGTTGGCTTGGGAATAGATGGCTCAAACCTCTCCTCTAGTCTGAGGGCAAAAATTTACATAGCCATACGAAAGACAATCCCTTGGGTGTTATGTCTACCTGTGATGATCCATCGTCCCCATTTAGAGGTGCTGGATGCTATCAGTGGAAAGGAACTGTCTTGCTTGGAGGATTTGGAAAACAACTTGAAGCAACTTCTTAGCTTCTACCGGTATTCTCCTCGTATGATGGCTGAGTTGAGGACGACAGCACCAACTCTGTCTGAGGAAACTGAGTTTCTTGGGGATATAAGGGCTGTGCGTTGGATCATAGGTGAACCCAATGTTCTCAATGCCCTAATCAAGGACTATCTAGAGGTGGTTGCTCACTTGAAGAGCATAAGCAGCCAAACCCAGAGAGGTGATGCTGCTGCCATTGCTCTGTCTCTCCTACAGTTCCTGTTGGATTATCAGTCGGTGAAGCTGATCTATTTTCTGTTGGACATCATTGCTGTCTTTTCACGACTTGCTTTCATCTTTCAGGGGGACTATCTGTTGCCGTCACAAGTGGACGCAAAAATTGAGGATGCCATTTATGAGATTGGTCAATTGGTGGACTCCCCAGGGGAGTACCTACAGGAGTTTGAGGACAACTTTCGGGAGAGTTTTAATGGCGTGGAGCTCAAGAACTTGCGGGTTGCTGAGTCCAAGTTTCAGTCCATTCGAGAGAAGATCTGTCAGCGAAGTCAAGGCATCCTGGCCCAACGTTTTGATCCACGCAGTCGCACAGTGGTCCAGGCTTGTCAGGTCCTTGACCTGGCCTCGTGGCCTCTTAACAGGGATGATCTTGGTGCATATGGAGAGGAGGAGATCCTTGTCATTTTTGACCACCTGGAGACTATTCCTTCATCTGGCCATGAGCTCTCTCAAGAAAGAATAGATGCCCGAGGAAGCCTTGTAGTTGAATGGAGGGATCTAAAAGCTGATTATTGTAGTGTGAATGGTTTTAAAGAAGCAGTCAGCCACATCTTCAGATACAAGCAACGTTTTCCTCTTCTCAATCACATCCTGCAGGTTGTCAGGGTCTTGCCAACGTCATCGACATGCTGTGACAAAGGAAGATGCTCGTTGCAGAAAGTGCGCAGAAATTGCCGTTCCAGACTAACTCTGGAGCAGATCAACGATCTGCTCACCATGGCCGTTAATGGACCACCTATCAGGAGCTTTGATGGAAAGCGAGCATTGGACAGCTGGTTTGAAGAGAAATCTGGGAACAGCTATTCACCCTCTGCAGAAGTGCTGAGCAGAATGTCCACCGCCGAACAAAAGTCTGTGTTGCACAATATGGATATGAATGCAGAGTATTATCCAGATATTTGACTGATCGGCACCAATTACTCAGCCAACATAATTCCAAAAAGCCATCTCGTTGGAAAAGGGCTGATCGGGACTATAATGTGATTGGCCAAGTAGTTTGACACTGGCCCTGCTGCTAAATTGGCCTAGATCAGCATCTTCTCTAAGAGTCGGTATGAATGCCTTTGCAGGTCGCAGGCACATGAAATGCTTTCAAATGTTGATGTAAATGGTTGTGATGTGTTGATATGTGTTTTTGTTCCAAAGAGAAACTATTTTCTAGTTGTGAGGATTGTTGCCTTTAGGTGAATGTTCGACTGAGCACCATTTCATCAGATATTGGTGAGTGAAGCCTCCTTACAGTCTTTTTTTTAATCTCTGAAAATGTCATCATCTTGCAAAAACCGATTCAACTAAAACCTTTCTGGAAAAACAGTTTTATTGTTATATCTGCAATATAGTTTGAGCAATCAATCATGCACTTAGACTTGTGTGTATGGAAATTATATAACAAAAAGTGCTTAATTTTTATAGCATGCTCTTTATGAGCACTTTGGTTATTGCTAATTGGAATGGAAATAGCCACTTCTTTTGCCATGCAGTATATTCCTAACATTTTTTTCAGATACTCTTTAGTTAACCATTACTCTTAAGATTATATGTAAATCTTGGTTTGATAACATGTTGATGTGCCATAATACTTTATGCAATCAGGTACCTGTAATGTGCAGTTTACACCCAATCTGATTTAAAGATTTCAAATATATAGCCTAAATATGCAAGGTTTAGCCTTACCGAGAAAAAAAAAAGTTTTCTCGGTTCTTTTAGCATGTGCTGGTGCTTGATTTCTGGTACATATTTTTATGTACAGCTACCGGCAGCCATGCCGGACCCCCTTATGAGTTCAAATTATAGTTACATTTTCTGATTCCACATCAAACAACAAATATATCTTTACTTTTTAAAGCTGCATAGAGGCGGTCTAAATAGTCAGATGTTTACTAAAATTTTTAAATGATGAACAGAAAATATTTCAGTAATAATACCCCAAAATTGTATCACTGTCTGTCTCAGCAATACTTTCCACCCAATACAAAGGTGTGTGCATGACGTCACCACTAGTAGGCGACACTGTACTACAGTTTACCCTTGGATGAAATTTTTGTATCTGAAGAATAGCACATAGCAAAGTCATAGCTTTTATATTTTTGATTGTGTTATTATGTGCATTCGTGTATTCTAGCAGTGCATGTGTTATGGTCAGCACCATATATTTTTCACTGACTTTAATTTCACATTATTTTTGTCTTACCTTGCCTTGCCACTAAATTCCATCTATTATACCTGTGCAATATATATATATTTTACACTTAAATTGTATATTCTTAAATACAAGAAAGTTTAATACTTACTAATAATGTTCCTTGAAACTGTGGAATTTGGAGGTTTCCAACATGACTCGGCATGTTTTACAAGATAACTTATAGACTTTAATTGTTATTTTCTTCATCTTGTGCTAAAAAGTTCCATATTTTTCAGTCATAACTGTTTTTAAAAAACAATTTCTCAAGGTCAAAAAAAAGGAGTCACCAGTAGAGATCTATTAATAGGCTTTATTAATAGTAATATTTTCAATGTTGCAGTTTAAATTTAATATGTTTAACATTATTAAACATGATGTTTAACATGAATGTCTAATGAAATTTAACATTATTCATACAGTTGTTAAAGCATCTTTATTGTCAGTTTAGAAAATATTGTAATTTGTGGTATATCTCAAATTATCAATTTTAAATGTAGTAATATTAGAGAGTATTGATTGTTCTCACTGTATACATCTGTGCAAAATCAAAAAGGAGTCTGGAGTCATTAAATGCAGTCTTCTCTAAAGTTATGTTAAAGGGATACTCCACCCCAAAATGAAAATTTTGTCATTAATCACTTACCCCCGTGTCGTTCCAAACCCGTAAAAGCTTTGTTCATCTGCGGAACACAATTTAAGATATTTTGGATGAAAACCGGGAGGCTTGTGACTGTCCCATTGACTGCTAAGTAAATTACACTGTCAAGGTCCAGAAAAGTATGAAAGACATCATCAGAATAGTCCATCTGCCATCAGTGGTTCAACCGTAACGTTATGAAGCGACGAGAATACTTTTTGTACACGAAGAAAACAAAAATAATGACTTTATTCAACAATTTGTCTCCTCTGTGTCTCTCTGCATTACCGTAGCGCCATTTTGGAGAATATCCACTGAACGCAAGCAGCGTACGCTCTTCTGTGTAAGCCGCGCTGCACGGATGCGCTGTTTTCATTCAAATCAAAGCATAAATACACGTAGAAAACGTATCCTTGTGTCGCGGCTGACACAGAATAGCGTACGCTGCTTGCGTTCAGTGGATATTCTCCAAAATGGCGCTATGGTGATGCAGAGAGACACAGAGGAGACAAATTGTTAAATAAAGTCGTTATTTGTGTTTTCTTCGTGTACAAAAAGTGTTCTCGTCGCTTCATAACGTTACGGTTGAACCACTGATGGCAGATGGACTATTCTGATGATGTCTTTCATACTTTTCTGGACCTTGACAGTGTAATTTACTTAGCAGTCAATGGGACAGTCACAAGCCTCCCGGTTTTCATCCAAAATATCTTAAATTGTGTTCCGCAGATGAACAAAGCTTTTACGGGTTTGGAACGACATGGGGGTAAGTGATTAATGACAAAATTTTCATTTTGGGGTGGAGTAACCCTTTAGCCTTTAACTATACACGTGTACAGTTAAGGCTGGACTACCTTCCATGTGCTGCAACGTTTTATATTAATCAAACTGAAATGGCTTGTCTTTATTTTAAAATATATTTAGATTTTGCACGACTGAAAATTTAGCATGTGTTTAAAGCCTCAGAAAGTTTGTATTTTATGGAAAGAATTATTTCAATAAATCCATTTTTATTCTGTTTGAATGAATGTACATTTTAAAAACAGAAATTTCAAAAACAGTGTTCTACGCAAAAGATTACTCTCATTTAATTGGTCAAACTATTATGTTTCATAGTAGTTAGCTATTTTTGTTAGCATTTCATGCGTTAGTGAGCAATTGATGGCATAGCATACCCACATCTGAACTCATGAGTAGCAAAAGGATTGTAAGGATTAATAAGTGAGCTGCCAGAAATCTAAACTATTTTTTTTTTTTATGTATGTATATGAATGCTTTTGAATGTTAGACCGTTACCTCACAGTGTGGTATGCCATCGAGTGAATCTTCTCGTATGGTGTTGGGAGGTATATGCCGTAGCTGTGTCAAAGCAAACATTTGCTCATCTTCAGTTTTGAATTCTCATAAAATGAGCCAAAGTCAAGTCTGATTTTATTTAGTTAAGGCTTTAATATGTATTTTCCTTTAATCGAATACGATGTGTACCAAATGTAAACGTTATGTCTAGATTAATAATTTTGTATTTTCTTGATTTAGTTGTCATGTAAACACAATAATGTGCATTGTCCGTATCATGAATTATTATGAAATGTTTTTCAATGTTTTTATCTGGGAGACACCAGGTCTTAGGCCTAAGGAACAAAGTTACTTCTGATTTAAAGTTTATTTTCAAACAAAATAAGTGAATGGTAGCTCCATATTTCCATTCAGTTCCTTCTTGCAAAGAGAAATATGTCTTTTGCTTGGATTTACACATTATACACCCTTTCTTCCTGAAAACTTATAACACTGGAACTCAAGAATATGAACTACATGTGAAATGTATACCTGGAGAATGTGTACATGTATTATAGAAACCTACTTAAAATTACAGCATATGGAAACTATATTCAACAAATAATGGTTTAATAAAGTTTTTTTATGTTATTGTCATCTATTGTCAAGTATTGTTATGTTATTATGTTTTTACTGGTTTTGCTTGAGCACCCAAAAAATGAAAATTTGCTGGAGATTTTCTCACCATAAGGCCATCCAAGATTGTAGATGAGTTTGAATCTTCATCAGAACAGATGGAGATGGAGTAATTTAACATGATCACTTTAGCATTACATCATGGATGCTCTGCAGTGAATGGGTGCCAAACAGCTGATAAAAACATTAAAATAACCCACAAGTACGCTTGTAAACAGTGCTTGATCCGTGCATACTACTCTCCTGATTCAGACGAGATGACTTTTCCGCAAAATTATGGATAAGAACGCTCATATCATACCGGAACTGTAATTCTTCAAGTTGTGTGAATTGCTTGTGGATCATTGTGATGCGTTTATCAGCTGTTCGGACTCTCATTCTGACGGCACCCATTCACTGCAGTGGATCCATTGGTAAGCAAATTATGTAGTGCTACATTTCTCTAAACGTATTCCGATGAAGAAACAAACTCCTCTATGTCTTGGATGGCCTGAGGGTGAGTTAGTTTTCAGCAATTTTTCATTTTTTGGTGAACTATTCCTTTAATTGAGTCACCATTTATAGATAAGATAAGATGATTTCAGGTTTAAATAGAAAGCCATTTCTTGATTGTTGCATGTTAAAAAATAATGTAATATATATATTTTTCAGATTAACTTGACACACACACATTATTTAAAATGCTACACTGAATGCTACAGCCCAAACAAAGATCAAGTGCTCTTTGTTGCTTGTCTGACCACAGCTTCATTGTTCATCTGTGCCTGTATTTGGTCCTTTAAACACAGTCCCATTCCAGCACTGTGGAAAAAGCCAATCATCATGCCTTCTCCTGGATATTAGCATTCTGACATGTGATGGGTGATTTTCTGCTCCCTTTGCTAAGGTAGCGGAAAAGCAACAACATGAGTACTTGTGTGGGCTGCCGCACAAACAACACTACTTCACTGTTTTAAATCCCAACAAATCCATTTGCTTAACACCAATTGTTTTGCTATCATCAGATCCAGATTCAGAGTTGTATTTCATGCCTTTTCAGATTCAGTCTGAAATAAGGGTGGCATTGAGATGAGATTTGAATTGAGTGCTTCCATGACTGCAGAAAGGCTCTAGGAAGTGTGACACAGGCCTTATTGTCAACACCAGCTGCAGTGTTGGGGAAACGTAGCAGAAATGATTGGGGTTTAATTCTCGTGGTCAGTCGTTACGCTGTACAAAGAGAGAGACAATTAGATTGAACTAAAGGTCTGTGAAGATTCTGTATAAGATCTTTGTAAAGGCAAATTCTGAATGTGCTCTGTTTTGGGTTAATATAACCCTGTTCTGGCTGTGCAAGATAATCATTTAGCGAAATGCAATTGTTTTTGAGATGCGTTATGATGTCATTCGCTTCTAACTATTTTACTTGTACAAAAAGAGTCTGTTAAGCTGCTCTATATTGCAAACTGTTATCATATTAGTTTAATTTATTATCATAAACACTGGTTTGTAGCGCAAGTAGTTTTACTGTTTATTGCACTTTTAGTTATTTACCTATAGCTGCTATGAG